CCGCAGACACATTCTGACAGCACTTCAGACAGCAGCTTTGTGCCCCGCCAGCTGCTTGTTCCATGCCTACCATGGTGTTTTTGTACAGACAGCACTTCAGACAGCATTATGCTGTAGTCGGCAATCTTCCGTTTTGGTATAGAGTGGGACAGGGAGGGGGTGATGCTACTGTAGTCGAACGGTGGGACGGACGTGCAGTTCAGTTTTTGGGCACGCATACGGTGCTGCAGGGATTTTTAGGTGTACCTCTTCGGGCTCTTGCATACCTTTTTCTCGTCAGATGTGTGCGTGTTCTTTAGATCCTCAGATGGCTCTAGCACTTTCGTGACCACGGGCTGAGAGTCTTTTGCTAGATTTTGGCATTTAGCAACTGACATACGGTTTAATGTGAAGACAAACAACAACAACATTGAACGATCAACGCCGGACGCGGCCATTCCCGTTGTGTATTGTTTCTTTGTGGATTCGTTTGTGCATTTCTTCCCGCGGCCATGCGTGCTTGGTCTAGCATGACCTCGCGTCCAGCGAGCCGGAGCATGTATCTTGTATGTCGTATGGTCAGGTGCAACCCTTCCATTTTAATACATCTGGGAATCTGGGGTCTTCTGCGGTGTTCTTTTACTTATCCGGACACACACGTACCAAAGACGAACAAGGAATATGTTGGTAAAAAAAAAAAAAACGACTCAGCTGGAAGAGTCCTCTGTTGATTCGCGTGAAACGCGCCTAGCTGATTGGTCGACTCCCACTCTCACCCTGCCGTATCACAAAATGCCCGAAGAATGTTGCTGTGCGCTGCCGAAATCACCTTTCTTTGGTGCGCATTCCGTCTGATGTTCGGCTCTATGTGTTGCAGCTGTCGATGTGAGAAAATGCAAATCGTCTTCATTGACGTGTACAGCAGTTGCAATCACAGACCAGTCAACCAGCACAGGTGTTGACCCTTCGATCGCCCCTCCTCGGTCTCTCTGCGGCCACATCCACCCATTACTCTTCTGGAACGTGGAAAGCTGCGCGCACGCTCTGTTTCGGTCCGCGTTTCAACCATGCTGCTTTCAATCAGCCTATGGACCTATGCAGGGGTGTGTCTAGGGTCTAGGATTTCGGTTGCCAACTTTTGTTGGGAGCAGGAAGATTTCAAGATTCGTGGCTTTTGGTGCGAGCAGAAAGTGATGACTGCGGGGAAATTCGGCGACGAAAGGGTCCCATAGTCTATGCATCCCGTCACGTGCGAGTACATTTCCGACAAATCAGGGTACACTTCCACAATTCCGGAGAAAAGACGGCCACGTTGTATGCGACGAACACGGCCCTGAGTGGTAGATCTGGGCAACGCAGTTCCCGTCTGAACAATACGACTTCATTTTTTTTTTTTCTCCCAGGGAATCAGGGAAGGAGGTGCCGCTAGGCGAGGGCGGGGAGATTCACAGCAACAGGCACGGCCAACGCCGTGCGCGGTGCAACACGACGAAGGTCACAACACTACACTACAGCAGAATATACAGATAGCGCCCGCACTTAAGAACTTAGCAGTTTAGAAATCGAGACTTGCTAGAAATCAGAAGCTAATGAGAACTTGAGCACCATTTGTGAGCTCGGTTAAGAACTTCACACTAAAACCTATATCGCGGCCATTTGTAGCCCACAAGAGGATGATCAGCAAAATCTGAACCCCAGCCTCTGCCGAAATTAGAGGTTCTTAAGTGCGGGCGCCATCTGTATCGTACAACAGTTTCAGCCCGAACCTCGTAGTCTACTCCCACCCGCGCTTCACGTCGCATCACAATTCAGAATGATGGTGGACCACGATAACAATGGAGAACATCGTCGAGGCTTCCCTATCGCCGGCGGCGTGCAAGCGGCATAAGCGCGCTGCCTGTACGCTCATGCAAGTTTTGGACCGATATCCATGTCTCTGCTTCTATACATCCACCGCATCATTCGACTCGAGCCTTCAAGTCGTGAAGTCTCTGCGGTACACTTCGTGTTGTCTCCAAAATTTGTGCCGATTGATCCCACGGTGGAGGCTTTGATTAATCCTTCTCGGCACGGGTGTAGGGTTACGCCGCACGTGTGCATCCGCTTGAGACCATGTCTAATGCTGTACCACATGTACAACGAAAAAAAATGCCAGCATGGGAGAACACGATGTGCGGTTGGCAAGCGATGGATCTCTCAGTCATGGCCTAAATTGAGCACACGCTTCTTCAGCTCTGAAATCTAGCGGAGTACGGGGTTGGTCAGGAGGGTTGTGTCGAGCTTAATTAATTAACTTGCTGCGAGAAATACAACGGCAACGACGCATGTTGTTGCACTTGCGACATGTTTCAGCTTCCCGCTGGAAAACGACACGCAAACAGGGCAGCACCGACAACACCGTGAGACCCACCGGGCTTCGTCGAGGCGTTGCGCTCCGACGCCTTTTTCTTTCCCTTGTTCTTCTTGCCCATGGTCGTCACGAACGACCTTGTGGAATCTTTCCCGTGCAGACGATTGATGAGTGGTTGAACAGGTGTCAATTGCTCTGTGGACAACGACAGAACCGGATGTATGTTCCCAGCGCGTTGCAGAGAGTCTCCGGCAGTGGAACAGCGAATGCGTGGTGCAGCCGTTGTGTTTCTCGGCCCTGTCTCCGCTCTCTCCCTCTCAATTTCTCGTGGGATAGCAAGCAGCGACTATTTTGTGTTGGCGCCCGCCCACCCCCGACCCACCTAACCCACCCTGACATGAACGATGAGGGCACATGGATGGATAAGTTGGGGTATAAGTGAACTCACAAACTCCAGTCAGAGACCCCCTTTACCGGCCGTGCGCGCCGTGCGTTTGGATTGCTCTGCAAAAGCTGGCGTACCGAGAGGGAGAGGGCGAGCGGTCGCTAGGGAGTAGGGATGACAGAGCTGAGAAGGTCATCCAGAGGTGAGCTATCGGCGTCGAATCATTGCTTTGTAAACGCGTCCTGTGCGGTGTGTCGGGCGCCCCATGTTGGCTTGACTACAGCAGTAGTGACACTACCGCTTTCGAACAGGCCAGACCCATATTCTTCGGCAGTACGTATGGCAGCAGTCCACGGCTAACGGTCTGTGCCAAAGTTCGGAGTCCGCCCTGTGCTGCCTGTTTCTTGCTGCTAGTCTCATGCAGCACAGGAGGCCTCCCCTTGCTGGCGTTGCACGTCGCAGCGTACACCACACTCGTTTTAACGGTTATTTATATTCGGAGGCTGGAAAGTCGGCCCGTAAAAAGTCCAAAAACGAAGAGACCACATCACACACTGGCCGTCGCAAGTCTGTGATTTGCACGCACACCACATCCATTCCCTCGGCTGCTGTCGCGCATAAAACAAGGCGCACACCACTACCTTGGCCTTTTGTGTGAATGGCTACTACAGCGTGGCGCGGAAAGTCGTGTTGCGAGTTCCGCTATACACAAAATCGAACGATCGTTATGTGCCAGTGTCCGGAGTTTCGAAAAAGTAGCGTAGCACTCTGGAAGAAAAATCTAGTTTCGTCCCTGAGGTTCGATGCCACTTTCGCGGGACCGCTCGTCTCCCGGCTAAGAACCGGCCCAATGTTCGCTATTGCCGTTTCATTCTTAGGTGTGGTATTTGTAATGAAGTAAGTTCTGTTTCATCGTCGTCGTCGAATAGATGCTGTGCATATGTATGTGTGTGCAGTTTGCCAGTGTCATCGAGATGGTACACACACATAGCCACCAGCGATGGGACCAAATATGTATCACTTGTGCCTGCCGTGGTAACTCCCGTTCATGTGTGGACGAAGAGGAGGGATATCATTCTTATTTGTGTGTGACCGGTCGCTGTCGTTGCTCTCGGGTTGGTTTTGGTTGTGATCTGCCATCGGTAGCGTTCACGATTTGTTGTATTTTTCTCGGTCCATCTTTCATTTTCAATTCTTGTTGATACGCATGTGCACATGCAGTTCGGAGTACACTCGATACACAGCAGTTGTGAGCACGCAAACGTGCTGCAGGGATTGTAGGTGTACCTCCTCGGGCTTGTGTACCCTTTTCTTGCTAATAGTGTGTTCTTTTGATCTTCTGATGGCTCTAGCATTTTTGCGACCACGGACCGAGTCTTTGCTAGATTTTGGGATCAGCAACTGACACGAGTTTAATGCGAAAAAAGCAACAACAACACACACACGGTGTTCACCGAAGCAATGCACCCACTCACACTTGGCTGTCCCACCATTACAGACCTGCACGAGCACCGTTTACCACCCAAAAGCGACCTGCGCGTACTCCAAGCACCACCAGCTTAGCACCTACCCACGCCAAGAACCAACATGTTGTAGCACCAGTAGTAACCTAGATTTATGTCATCGGTGCCAACCTAGCACCTATCCATCGAAATGTAGTACTGCTGTTGTCCTCCCATAACAACAACCTCGAGCGCCAATGCCAATGCCGGCACATCCTCCTAGAACGTACATGCCGCCGACCTAGCGCCTATCGTGTGGGTTTGGGGTTAGCATTAGGGTTTCTAGCGCCTGCCAAAGCAGATATAGTCTAGCACTGGATATGCTTTGACTGTAAATCATGCGGTTGGCGGTCGAAGGGGCCACATGGCGCTATAGGCGAAGTATTACGCATCGGGGGACAAGGGTTTGAGGCGGAGAACATTACTCCTAAGTAATATTGTACCCTTTTTGTTCCTACATGGGTTGTTCTGGGCCTGTGAAGGGTATAGGTGTGTGGCTTATGTGCACACTTGTGTAGTTGGCCTGTGACCGCGGAAGGCGACTGTCAGGGTGGACCGGCACGGATAGTACAAGGTACATAGCTGTTCTGAGCGGAGACGGAAACGGTTTTTATGGTCAAAGCAACACAAACAATGACAAAGTGGTCGGTACATACCCCGAAAGAACCGTTGGGGATAAGCATTAGTATTTAGAGAAGGTACTGGCGTGTAGATGTCGTACGCATACGTGAAAGCAGCTTGCAAAGGAAGTACACTAGTCGGTATCCAAGAAGTAACTTCGCCATGAGGGCGAGATGGGAGAATAAATAGGGTACAGCACTGGACGCAGGTGCTGTGTCGGGAACATTCACCGGTAACACGTTGCTGTATTTTGCCGCGCACAAGCGTGCGGCCAAAGGGAGCCAGAGGGAAACCGTGTCAACACCAGAATCTTGTTTGCCGTGGTGCAGTAAATAGGTGTGGTGGTCCCTTTTCAGGAACGCGCTGTGGGTTGTTTTAGACCCCGGGTCTTTTGTGAGGAGGGGGAGCAAGACACACAAATTGCTTTCTTCGTCACAGACACCATCTTTGGTCGGTTAACAAAAGTTCTATGAAGCAATCAATCCTCCAAAGCTCGGTGAGTCCGGAGGAATCCAATCCCCTTCCCGTACTAGGCCAAGACTGCACCATTGCGCGCGTCCCACGAATTTCTTCTCCCTGCTGTTTTGTAACTTCAGTTCGCCAGTCAGCAAAGCACGCCTCCACATACTACATTCCGGATGAGAAGAACAGCCTTTTCTCCACTCCGGGGGTCCGACCGAGGGGTTGGCGGACGGTGAGTGCAGCAGTACAAGCAGCAGTAGGAGGTGTTGTTGTTGTTGTTGTTGTTGCTGTTGTTGTTGTCTTGGTTAGGGGCGTGTGTCGCTGCTGTGCAGCGGTGTACTGGCTTGGTCCGTCGTCGACCCCCTCCGCCTGACGACGTTTGTACGATCATACCCACGTGACGTGTACACGCACAAGATGGCACTTTCGAAAAATGCATGTCTGTCGCAGAAGATCCTCTCTCACCCCGCATGCACGCCCACTCCCGCTGATGCTCCGATACCACGTTTGTCTACCTGAAACAGGCGGATGTTGCGGTAGGTTACTTTACGGTGAAGCGATGGGTGCCCAGGGATCAGCATCACCTGACGGCAGAGCTACACGGCGGCCTGACGGACCCAGCCGAGATTGCTGCCGCCAAGGTTTGGACTGCTGTAATATTGCACGAAGAAAATCGTCTGAGAGAGAACAAGACCCGCAGGAGTAGCGCTGTGCTGTAATCGAATGCGGACGCCCGCACACGGCTTCGCGCTGCGCCTCCATTTTCGAGCAGGCAGTAGCAGACCTTGCTAGTTCAGTGGAAATGCGCCAGTCTTTACTCGGGGCGAATATTGGAAGAATGGTTGATGTGTTGGTGTTGTACGCGAACGCTCCACAAGTGTAGTGATTGTTACGCATGCCCACACCCCGGATACTCACGCTTGTCTCGTTCTAAATGATCTCCCCCCCCCCCCCCCCCCCCCCCCCCCCCCCCCCCCCCCCCCCCCC